AATTAATGTTAATTTTTAAAATATTAACATAAAGTGCAATCGATAATATTAAAAAATTTTCAAAATTCATTTTTTTAAAAATGAAATCTCAAATAAAGAATCATTATTCTATAGTTTCAATTTATTTTTTCAGAAGAAATCATGTATGGTTTTATTATTCTTTTTGAAATATATTAATTGCTAATATTTTGTAATGTATTCATATAAGCAATTAATAATTAGTGATCATATACTGTCACGTGTCACCAATGTATACTTGTAAACAGAATCAATACTATATTATCATTATCAATACAACAATCATACATTATTTTTTTTTACATAAAACATGAAACTTGAAGTCAATTATCTACAAGTTATTCTTTATATTTCAAAATTATTAAAACCATTAAGAAAAGAGCTAATCACTAATTTCTAACAAATAAATTGTTTCCGATATCCGTCATTTGAAACAGTTATATATTTTCTCGAAAGCAAAACGAGACAAATGCGAACAAAAATATAAAACATACATGCACATAATTAGAAAATTTATGGGTGAAAATTCCAGTTGATGGTTAGGACTAATCGAGTACCCTTTAACATCACAAGAAATGTGAGGCATTTAATATTACGTAGTATCGCGTAGACATGGCTCGTTTATTCTGTATCAAATTATCCTTGCGCCGCACGCCACGAAAATGAAACATGAAATTCGATGTGTAACTGCACTGCAAGTACAAAGCATCTGTACTATGACGTTCTGCATCTTCGTGCAGAATATCGTATCAACATGTATCAGAGATGTGAGTGTTGTTTACGTTCTTTGTAAATAAATATGCGCAACAATATTAATATAATCCGTTCCCGCTGACGAATGTAATAAATATAATATCAGATGGAAATTTCATCGAGATCCGTGAGTGAACGTAGCGCGAAGTAAATAACAGAAAATCAATTTCTATGTTCTTAGTCTTACCGGTGATTGAAATGTTTCGTCTTAGAATAAAATCTTCTACGTATCTGCTTTCTTAAATGTTGGTAAGAACCGGGTAAATCCAACGCCACATTTCGAAGATTATATTCATTAAGTTGCTTATGTTTGATAATGAATTATGAGATGAAAGGGAGTATTTAATAGTTTGATAATTTAAATAATAGCAGTTTATTTTATACAATGATTTGTATAAAATAACAAATTTTTTCAAACTGGAAAGATTTTACGAGAGATTTATATCAGAGAAATAATTTGAAACATTATTATTTATCTAGTAATATTTATTAAATAATTTAATTATAAATTTACTATGTTTAATTTTAATTTTTAATAAAAAATAATATTTATTATAATACATGAGATTCATGAATTATATAATTTAATTATAAGATTCATTAAGCTTTATGATTTGATTGAATATAGTTCTTTTGTAATATTATTAGACTTAGAAATTAATTCAATGCCTTTTTAAAGTAATATAATTGTTTATTTGAAAAGAACTTTTATTCTTTGAAATATTCTCTATTATTTTTGTAATTTTATTCTGTCTTTTAAATATTTTTCGAATTTTTTAGTAGAAAATTTTTAATGTAATTATCGATGATGTTTTTTATTTTTTAAAAATGTATTTGTAAATGATATTAAAATGATCTCAATAGATAATAGTAAAATGAAGTCAAATTAGGTTCAAGAAAGAAATTATATTTTTTTTATCTTTTTTGTAAAATATCTGAAAAATTTGCATAAGAATTAAATTCTAAATCTAATAAATAATTTAATATTCATGTAATAGTATGTAATGAATATCTTACTAAAGAAAATTTAAATTCATTGTTGAAAAATTAAGGATTTTGAAATATTTTTATATTCTTTTAAAAAAGGAATAAGAATTAACAAGGCTTATTTTTAATATGAATTATTTACGTAAAAATATTTTAATAACATTTAATTTTGATACACGTTTAAATATAATGTATTATATTATAGGATACCATAATATAAATCAAAAAGAAAAATTTGATTGAGAAATAATAATAAATGATATAAATGAAGTTCAACTAACTTAATTAATGTAACAAAATATATTTGAATTTTTAATTTATTTGAAAATAAAATTTTTCACAAAAAAATTATAGATTTTTTTATTTCTTTATATAGATTTATTTCCTATTTTTGTTTATTATATAATTTATATCCTGTACATAATTTAATATCATAATTTAATATATTATATTTTTATTCTCTTTTTAAAAATAACTGTTATGTTATCATCTATTTAAGAAATTAATTACGTTCTCAACATTTTAAATGCCATAATTACGTATATCATTTCGTACACGTTGAAAAGAATTTGCATACGTTAAAGTCAAAAACAATGGTAATGCTTACGTCAGGATCACGGGATATTATTCAGTATATTTTATGAAGGGCAGGATAATGGATTCGCATAAATAAACGTGCGCATAGTGTAGAGGACGAAATGGAAAGAGGGGAAAGAGAATAACATCATACCTACGCAAAAAATATTTGAAACGTCGTTCAGCACAACTAGGCCAAAATAAAAATAAATAAATAATAAATAACGATTCCGTGTTAAGTACAAAAATAATTTAATAGAAGCATTAAATGTGAAATATAATATACAAACTGAATGTTATTCCATTTTCGAAATAACCATTCTATTGATCCTATTATTGTATTCTTCTTGTTTGTACGTGTACTCGAATTATATTTTCGAATGCAAAGAAAAAAAAAGAATATTTAAATGTTTTTGATCAAAAAGCAATAAGTTTTTGGATTATATTATTATTCTTTCTTGTGTATATCAATTTAGTATATATTATATATTT